CAGAAACATTTTGCCCTGGGAAAGATATGACCCGCCAAAAAAGGAACCCCTCAGAGTTAGGGTTGGGGTAGGGTTTTGTGTTTAGCTTCCCAGGGGAATAAAAGCATCCAACTATGGAATCCAGAGACTGATTCTCCCTTGTTCCTGAGGTCACTGGCCACCAGTCCTCAGGAAGAAAGGAGCAGAAGCAAAAAACTGGGGTTCAGTGGCCCATGAGCATGAACAGAAATTATCTCCAGGACCAGCTTCAGGGAGGCAGATCAATTTTATTCATAGTGAAGGAGGGTTATACAGAACTTTGGTAAGGGCATATGGATTTCCAGTGTGCATGAATGTCATTGGCTGGAGGCTAAGGTACTGACATGCCTCGTTAGCATGGAGGGGTATTCCAGGAATCCCAGGTGCTTGCTGAACAGGTCTTATCAGGAGGATCGGAGTTGGACCTGTAATTGCTAAGAACTATGTGACACACCTCAATTAGAGGGTGTGGGGGTCCAGGATCCCCAAGGTAGAGAAGAGGAAGCTTTGCCAACAAAGGGAGTCTTCCAGTTTACACCAAGCTTAGTACTTCCCAGTAATGTCAGACTTCGACCTCTCAGCAGGGTTTCCCAACAGGAGGCCACTGGAAAAGTGAAACATCTGAAGAAAACAAAGCAAAACAAAAAACCAGACACCAAAGTAGACAAGACAGGTAGCCTCACAGACTGCCTCAGGAACTGTTTCCTCAAAACTCTGCACCCAGAACAACTTCAAAATGGCTAAGATGGTCCAGCCTCACACTCTACCTCAGCCAGGACTTTGGTTAAGTCCTGCACCTTCCCATCCCACAGAGACGGGATAACAAATGATACTGCTAGCTCTTCTAGGGCTTGGTCAATATTTCAATTTCCTCAGGGCCCCCAAAACACGCCATCACCTCCAGACAGCAGTAAGCAATTTTAAGAGAATGATGACCCATTCCCAAGAGGCAGGGTGGGTGGCTTTTGGTCATTTGATGGGTGGTGGATGTTTGTCATCATTTTAGGAGGGTTGGTTGCAAGTTGTTAGTGGTCTTGGTCAGGGAGAAAACAAAGTATAGGAGGTTAGATTCTGGGATTTTCTTCTCTCTATCTTTTTCTTTCCTGTATTATTCTTGCTCTCCTATCTGGTGTTAGGGAAAAAGGGGGTGGGGGAGAAGGGATGAAAAGAAAAAGTGGGGGAGTCGGGTGCAGTGGTGCATGCTTGTAATCCCAGCACTCATGAAGGCAGAGGCAGGTGGAACTCTATGAGTTTAAGGCCAGCCTGGACTACAAAGTAAGTCCAGGATAGCCAAGGTTACACAGAGAAACCCTGTCTCAGAAAAAAAAAAAAAAATTAAAAAAAAAAGAAAGAAAAAGAAAAGAAAAGAAAAAAGTGGGGGGATGTAGAAATAATACAGGTATAATAGGGGAAAAGGCAGTACACTATTGAATCTACTCTCATATATCTTTGTATATTGATACAAATTTTAAGGTTATAATTTGTCACATTGGTATAGATCTTTGTATATTGATACAAAAGTAAGGTTATATTTGGTTACATTGGTATATTGATACAAAATTAAGGATATTTTTTGGTTACAAGATACATTTGTCAACTCTTTTTAAGGTGTTGTACCTATGTAAATGTGAAGTTGTACTCTTTTTGAAAGCTACTAGCACAACCTGTTTAGGATGATAACAAAATGCAAATAAATAGTCAATCAAACTTGTGGTTTTGTAGGAACTACTTTAGTTAATCACAGGTGTTTTCTAAGTTAATTAGAAAGTAAATAGCTAGAGAAAAGCAACATTTGACTATTTCGATATATTGAGATAGATGGTCTTTGAAACCTCAGAGATCTATATAATATGGCATTTTTTAAAAATAATATATTGTATTTTTAAAATGTTAACAATTTATTCATTTTATATCCTAATTGCAGCCCCTCCCCTCAACTCCTCCTGGTCCTACTCTCCCTCCCTCTTCCCATCTGTCTGTATCCCCTTCCTCTAGTTCACTGAAAGAGGGAGTTCTCCTTCCGTGTCATCTGCCCCTAGCTTATCAAGTCTCATCAGGATTGCCTAGATCCTCTTCCTCTGTTGCCTGGCAATGCCTCATTGCCAGGGGGAAGTGATCAAAGAGCAGGCAATTTAGACTAGAATACGACATTTTAAAATGTTTTGTTAATTTAGGACTTTTTTGACAATGAGACTTTTCAGCTCCTGGCGGCACTCACATACTACTTCAAAAAAGATAGTGAGCATTGAAGAAACTATTTATGGTATTTGCTTCAAATGTGGCAAACTGCCACTGGGCAAGAAACTGCCCTGGCCTCAATTTCTGACAGTGTGCCATCCAAGCTGAGGCCAAGCAGGACACAAAGAAAGTCCACTGCCAAACTCTGCCAGGGCAAGGGAGAGTCCTTCATAATTCCTGTCTCATAGAAAAACCTGTCAGATATTCTAGGTCAGCAGGCTGAAGATACCAATGCTACAATGTTACAGAGAAATCTTGGGTGACTGTCCAGTTGGCCAGCAGTCTCTGTCATTCCTATAGTTTGGAAGCTGCTGTTGTGCCTGATTTGAGAGACCCCAAAAGACCACTAGGAGTTGAGTCTGTTGCAAGCAGCTGGTGCTCTTAACCACTGAGCCATCTCTCCAGCCCCATCACAAGAGGATCTTTATCCAAACTTAAGCTCAAGCCGCCAAACTTCCCTGACGTAGCAGGTTAGAAAGTGAGGCCCCCGAGTCTCAGGGAGGCAGAGTTGTTAAAGGGAAAAAGAGCAAGCAGTGAATTCCAAGCCTTGGAGTTACAGGGAAGAGTAAGTTTTGGGTGGGGGGGGTTCAGCAATCGAGATGACCTTTAGGCTAATTGTTCCAAGCTACCTGGCCAAACCGACAGATATCTTAAGATATCTACGACAGCCTGCTGGGTGGAGTGGAGGACCCACTAACACATTCTGTGACATTTATGACAACCTGTGGGGTGGAGGCCTGATGATAGTTATCTATTTACACATTCTGTGGTATCCATGACAGCCTGCAGGTTGGAGGGCCAGGTGACCCTTCTTGGAACCCAAAGGTGGGGGCCAAGTCACTGCAAGGTCAGTCAGCTTAAGAGAGAGTCTGAGAAACAAACTGGAGCCACCCCTGCCAGCCTCGGTTCCCTCACTGCCTGCTCTATGCTTCCTGCCTTCTCAGGTGCTATTAATCCTTCTCACGTCTCTGACGCAGTTGAAGACTAGATAGTTACAGTCTCACATTAAGTTTAAGTGTAAGGGATCTAAGAAAATGACTGAGGTCTAAAAACATACTTATAGGTTGATAAAAGCAAGTTAGGATAGAAAATGATTTAAGAACAGAATTTTGAACACACCAAGATGGGATAAATAGTAGAGAACTTTCTCCAAGGTTGTCAAATACTAATTTTGTAAAAATCATCAATTCATCTCGACAATATTAAAGTCCATCTTCATATTGATCTGCAGGAAAATTGCCCTGTGGAGTCGGCTGTCTTCTAAGAGGCAATCACACCAGATTGTAGACAGTGAGGGTCTACCCACGCCCACATCACACCGTGCTAGACATGTGAGGAATACAGTAATGACAAACATGAGAAGGCACAGCGCCATAAAGGAGCAATCCAGAGACGAAGCCCCCAGGCTGGGACTCTCTGAGGTACACCCATCACAGCAGTACTGTCTCCAGGAAGCTCACTTGCCCCTGCAACTCCTCCAGCATGGCATCCACCATGCCCCCTTGATAAAGTCAACGTGATAGAATCCCACGGTACCCTGAATACATCCTACAAAACAGATTCACTTCACATTTATTATAAATGGTTTTCTGGAGATAAAAAAAATTGAGCAGGTAACTGAGACGATGAGTCTAGAAGGAGAGAAAGGATCTGGCCACAGAACACACAATGGAGTGAAGAAGGGAAGCATTGTAGACAAGAGTCTCTGACTATAAACCAGATTGTGGCTTGCGTGAGAAGAAGCCATGTTTCCACATCTCTCTGCTACACCCAGGATATGCCTCCCCATGACAGTCTGGAAGCCCTGACTGGGTCTTTCATGAGACACCTTCCTCCTCTGCGATTTCATCCTTACCCATCTGATTGAGAAAAACCACCAATGTGCCATGTCTAGCGCTGGATGAAATCAAGCCTCCCTTCTCATTCCCAACACAAGGTGGAGTCTTGTCTTCCTCCCACAGAGATCTTTCTTGCGAGTACAGCACAGAGCTGAAGAGCTTGCTGCTTCTGTGGACCTAACCTAATGTCCTACACAGACACACAAATGAAAATGCTTAGTATTTAAGGCACCTGCAGCCAAGCCCAAAGTCCTGAGTTCACACTAGGAACTGTGATTTTAAAGAAGCCAGGTGGGTGAAAAGTTAGGGTGCCTGTTAGAGGATGGGGTGTCCATAGCCTTTAACAGAGACTAGCCATCCTCTTCTGGAAAGAAGGGTAGAGCACAGAGAAGTTGAGGGAGTCCTATGGAAGTCATCCAAACAGAACACATTCATCAGCTCATGGGTCAGAAGATGGCCACCTGTTGGATACCTGAATGCAGCAGGAGAATGACCTTTATTAGGGAGGGGAAACTATGGAGAACAGAAAAGAGGAAGGGAGAGGAGAGAGAGAAAAACAAGGAAGGCCTAGTGGATTCACGAGGGGCCAGTTAGAAGAAAAAGCCCAATTAGTGCTTGGAGAGCTGCCCCATGACAGGACCCAGCAGTCTGGATGAATAGGGAGTTCACATTCCTCCAATCAGCTGACAGAGGAAGGCTGCTGGGGAGAAAGCAGGGGAGGTTCAGAGACAGGTGGGAATAACTCAGGGACACCTCAGGCAGTAGTCAAGGGTTAGCTATGGATTACACAGCTGCTCTCCACGCTCCCCAGGTCCCAAGAGAGTCAGTTGCTTTGAGTGCCTGTCCCCAGATCCAGCACAATGCTAGGAATCAGGTAGAAACAGAAGTCAGGAGACTGGACTCAAATGCAGGCGGGTTTATTTCAGAGAACCTGAGAGGAGCTCACAGCCAGCAAGCATGCCTCTCTTACCAGACTGGCAACCTTTCCCAAGCAAGGAGGAGAGGGAGGAAGGGAGGAGCTATGGGCGTAAGCAGGAGACCAAGCTCTTCTTTGCAGACAGGGTCACCTTTGCAGTTAGGTTGTGTCTCAAGGGTTCAAGATAGGGAGCCGAATGCTGCTGTATTCATGATGTTTCCACAGGCCATGGGTTTGTCATGGGACCAATTGCTGTTGTTTAAGTCATCTTCTTGACAAGTTGGAGAAAGTCGCTGCAAGAGCAGTTAAGGACTATTAGCCACTGAGCATCTCTATAGCCAAACCCCTCCCCAACTTGCAACTTTGTCCTCACTTGGATACAAAGTCTCAGTAAGGTAGCCTGGGTCATCCTGGAACTGGCTGTGCAGAACAGACTATCCATAAACTCAGAGATGTGCCTTCCTGTGCTCCCCAAATCCTGGGATTTAATGTGACCAGATCCAGCTTCTCTAACCACTTTTGAATCCATTTTGATGAAGGTTTCCAATTACATAGTGTATTTCTAAACCCGGGTTGGGTTCTTGGTTTTGTTTTTTGAGCCACTGTTTCTGTATCCCAGGCTAGCCACAGATTCACTGTGTAGACAAGGTTGATCGTGAAATTTGGATCCTACTGCCTCCACCTCCTGAGTGCTGGGATTAAAGGCACGTGCCAACACACCCCTTTTACAGCATCTCTGTAACTGATAAGTATTTATGGGTCCCAATATATCTTTAATTGACAAATATTTGTAGGTCACAAGATGGGACTTTGCTTTAAAATACTCTGCCCCCAGGAACAGTAGGTGGGAGAGTTAAGATTGAGTGTGAATGTGGGTGCCAAGGGACTTGTGTGCAGGTCACAGACAACCTAATAGAGTTGGACTCCCCTTCCACCAAAGACCGACTGACTAAGTCAGCTGGTCAGGCTTGCCTGGCAACCACTTTTAAATCCACTGAGCCATCCTACCAGACCAAAGTCAACCAGTGTTAACGCAGGATGAAAGTAATTACAGAGATATTCCCTCTATTACTCTCTGCTGTCATATCTATTTATGGTTTTCCCGTAATGAAGTCAACAGGATTAACGTATATACTGGAGACTTCGGAGTGCACCCACCCTGTCCTCATCTTGAACTTCAGACATGTATGTTCGATGGCCTAAAACATAGCTCTATCTGTTTGCCATCTCAGTGTACTTACTAAGTGTACACGCTGTCCCTTCACAGCACAGTCAATCCACCTGCCAACACAGACCAACACACTCCTGTTCCTCTCCTGTGGCTCCCCGTCTCTGTAATGATAACACTAGTCAGCCTGTTGCTCACCCTGATAACCTGGGAGGCACCCTTGACTCCTCTCTTCTCCCATCACATCCCATCAACAAATACATACTGACTCGGTCCCCTCTCACCACTGCTTGCCGAGAGCAGCCTTTCCTGCCATCGTCATTTAAGATCATCCCCTGGGGTGTGGAGATGTCACAGCAGGGAAAGTCAACTGCGGCCAAGACTGACAACCTGAGTTCAGGCCCATAAGGAAGAAAGCCAGTGTCCTCCGACCTTCACAAGCACACAGCACATGTGTAACGACCACACACAATAAACACAAGTGTAATGAAAACTGATTTTCGGTGCTGGAGAGATGACTTGGTCGTTGAGTGTGTACTGCTCTTGCAGAGTTGCAGAGGACCCATGTTCGGACCCCAACACCCACATCAGCTGGCTCACAGATGCCTGTCCTCCACCTCCAGGGGGTCTGAGACCCTCTTCTGTTCTGCAGACACAGGCACACGCACACACACCATTCACATAGTACCTGACACACAGAAGAAGCATCTTTCTTCCATATAATTTGATTTAATGAGTCACCTGTGTCACAGAGTTTTGCAATCCCAAGAAACTTCTTACTTCCTCCTTAGTGGTGGCTGCTTTGTTGCACTAAGCACAAAGAGACTTGACAAGGGTGGTTGACTAATGTGCACATCAAACTGCTAATTTTTTTTTCTTTATACGAGAGGGTTCTTGGTGTGATGGCAGAGCTTTAAAATCCAACCCTCAGAAGGCTGAGGCAGGGGTCTTGTTAGGCCTGAGGTCAGACTAAGATTCAAAGCAAGACTTTATCTCCATTAGTGAACACACATTTAACACACCAAGTGGCTCCAGGTTAGACATGAGGACAGTGGGGATGAAGAAGTGAGGGAGCCCAGCTGTTCAGAGCCGAGGTTGGTAAGCGAGTAGCTCTTCAGTTCAATTCCATTTCAAGCAGTGACTTCCCAGCTCTGTGAAAGTGTCTGTGAAAGTCTGGTTCCAGAGAATCAGACATTCTCTTAGACATGCATGTAGGAAAAACACCCATATATGTAAAATAATAAAAAGAAAAAAAATCTTAAAAGCAGAAGTTACCTTAGAAATTTCTTAGCAGGAAGTTCGATCATTTCTTTCATGGGAGGTGTTTGGCATTTCTGAGCTACTGTCTTCCTGGAAAAGTCAAAGGTGTCTGTCAGCGCTGATGATCAGATTATAATATATCAACTCACCTCACAGAATAAGCTATTTAATGCACCATAGGTCCCCACACCAGAGTTACAGAGTTACAGGATCTTCCTCCCCTAAGGCAGGACACAAGTCTTATCTCACAGAAAATAAGTCAAGAGCGCCTGGGGAGATGGCTCAGTCACTGAAGGGCTTGTCATGAAATGTGGCAGCCTTTTTGGAGTGAATGGCAAATTTGGAGTTAATGGCATCTGAGCAGTGGAATTCGGCCTCTTGGCTTTGGCTATTTTCCAAAGTCCAGCTTCTCATAAATTGACCTTGGTGGTCCTACAGCGGACTGCTCTGACCCCGAGAAATTCTGTGCAACCATAGTAACCAGACAGCAGGCTCTGTGTAACCTTGAATGAGCTCTCCTATGTTTGGACCAAGTAAAGCTCCTACGTGAGAAACTGCTTGTACTTTTTTGCCTACTTAAGTGTTAACCTGACATCCATTAAATCGACACCTGGATCAGCATGTAGACTTGGTGTCCTTCTCTGTGTCGCCCTGTCTCTCTCTCTCTCTCCCAGCCCTCTCTCAGGTGGTATTCAGGTGTCACTGCTGGCCAGTGACAATGAAAGCGCAAGGAACTGAGCCTGGACTGCATGCACCCCCTTAAAAAAAAAGTGAAAAACAATTCCAGACACAGAGGTAATCTGGTAATATTAGCACTCAGAAGATGAAGACAGGATTATTCCTGGGGCTTGCCAGTCAGTCAGTCTAACTAAATAGTGAGCTCCAGGCTCATGGAAAGACCTTTTATCATCATCGTCATCATCATCATCATCATCATCATCATCATCATCATCATCATTTTCATCATCATGCTGTCCAACAAACACACACTAAGTAAATAAATATAGTTAAAAAAATTTTAAAGTAAAGTAGAAGGCTGGAGAGATGGTTCTATGGTTAAAGGTTTTTCCTGCTCTTGCAGAGGACTCAAGTTCATTTCCTAGCAACCATAATGGATAGCTCACCATCTTCTGAAACTCCATTTTGAGTGAACTGATGGCCTTCTCAGGCCTCTGTGGGCACTGCGTTTACATGTACCCATGCCAACTCCTGACTGCTCCGACACATACATACATAACTAAACAAAACAAAACAAAACAAAAATAACAAAAACCCTACTATTTTAAATGTAAGGTAGAAAACAATTGAAGATACCCAGCACTGACCTCTGACCTGCACACTCATTTTTACACATGTGCACACACAAACATATGTACCAAAATAAAATAAAATAAAATAAAATAAAATAAGTCACACAAAGCTTTTTTGCAGGGACACCTTTTCATTGCTATGGGAGGATCTCCAAATAATTACAGTCAATTTATTTAAATAGAAGAAACATCAATTCCATGAAAGTGGGACCATGTAATAGGAGGATACTTACAGGAACTGGACTCCCAAGGTGAATGTAAGAGCTATATAGCCTTCCTGCAAATTGGGATCCTGAGCAAGAGTCTGGCATATGTAGGAATTGGGATCCAAGTCATTTTTCTTCATCTTCTAAAAAAGGAGTGGCAAGAAATCAAAGGATGGGACCGTTTTTAACTGACCGCCTCTTTCAGAGGGAAGCTTACTTTACTTGTGTGGTGGCTGAATAGGAATGTCACCCACAGGCTCAGATATTTAAACATGCTGTCCCCAGTTGGTGGTGCTGTGTGGGGATGTTATGGGGAGGAGCAGCCTGTGTTCCTGGGGTGTGCTTTAAGGGCTCATAGTGTTGCCTCACTTCCAATTTGCTCTCCCCTGCTTCATGTTTCAGTTGAAGTTGTGCCTCTCTCTTTCTCCAGTGGCCATGATGAGCTCAAGAACTGTAAGCGTGTATAAAGGCTACGTAAGTTGCTTTTCGTCAATGGTGTTTTTATCACAGAAACAAAAAAGTAATTTATACAAGGTGAGACCCTCACATCACCATTAGAACTCAGGAGCTTGATGACACACCTAGGATCCCAGCACTCAGGAGGCTGGGGCGGGAAGATCAAGCCCCAGGCCATCATGGGCCTTAGAGCAAAACCCCGCACCCCCCAAACAACGTAAAACAAACCAGTGAGCGGATGTTTTTCAAGACAAAGCTTTCAAATAGTGCTGTCTGTCAAATCCCTCAGTAAACCTTTGAAGGAATGAGCTGGCCTCTTACCTCTACCATGTCCTTCCCAATCTCCATAGAAAGGATGTAAATTCCAGGAATTTTTTCAGCAATTGTTTTAAGAAAATCCAGACTCTGGCTGTCTTGTACTGAACAAAAAACAATGATGGAAATTCATGAATCAAAACATTTCTTTAAAAAGATGTATTTGTTTTTTTGATTTAGTGTGTGTGGATGTTTTTCCTACATGTATGTCTGTGCACCACTCGTGTGGGCCACCCAAGAGGCCAGAGGAGGATCTCGGGTTCTCTGGAACTGGAATTACAAGTAGCTGTGAGCTGCCATGTGGTTACTGGGACCTGAATCCAGGTCCTTTTTTCTCTTAACCACTAAACCATCTATCCAGCCCTGCCAAACAGCATCTTCTAAAATCCAACATTGAAACACAATATAATAGAAAGAGATATTAATTTGGTATTTACACACTGAAGAAAACGGGAAAAGTCCCGATTCCTGTAAGTAAACCTCCTGTTTCTGTAAGAGCACAAACACTGATTGCATAATAAAAGATCTGGCGTTCATAAGCGACAGTGGCCTGCAGCCTGAGCAGAGTGTCTGAGGCGGCCTTTGGTGGTGTTCCTGATGGGAGACCATGTACAATGCACAGGACATGCGTGCACCTGGTGTTCAGCCGAGGCTCCAGCGCGGTGGAAGAGTCACATACTGCCAGGAAAGTGCGTTCGCTTCACCCTTGGTTTTGAATTAGTGTTTGTTCATTGTGTGCTCAGAATACTGTCGCCACATTTTCCTCAAGCCCCGAATTCAGTTCCGCCATTCCCCATGGGGTCTCAACCCACAGTATAAGAAGCTTGAAAGCGAGATGATGAGGCCAGGCTCCAGAAGAGAGAGAATGTTTACGGAACATGTGTCTGAGTCAATGTCCATAAGATAAAAAACACTTACAGTGCAGCAGGACAAATAGTATAATTGAGACCGTGTGTGTGTGTGTGTGTGTGTGTGTGTGTGTGTGTGCGTGTACACAGAAGACATGGGTAAGAGCGTAAGCCTGTGTAATGCTTTTCCAGCACTGAGGTCTTGTGACTCACAACCACGGCTAACTTGAGCTCTGGGGGTTTTCAACGCTTCCTTCAGGGCTCTGTGCGTACCTGCACCCAAGACAGTCACAGGAATACATACAAATAGATACAAATTTTTAAAGATTCTTTAGAATCTTTTCACTGCATGGAGGGAACTGTGTTGCCTGCAGTGCGCCTCTGCGTGGCGACAAGTGTGCCGACACAAGTCAGCCATCGTGTGCTGAATCCGCTGGGACTGGAGGTACAGGCAGTTGGAAGCTGCAGAGTAAGTGCTGAGAACCCAACCTGGGGGCTCTGCAAGAATATCTCATGGTCCAATCCACTCAGCCCAAGTTAAAAAAAAAAAAAAATCAACCTCACATGGTTGTGGATGCCTTTTTTCCACTATTCTGGAGGCAGAGGCAGGGAGATCTCTCTGAGTTAAAGGCCAGCCTTGTCTACAGATTGACTTCCAGGCCAACAAGGGCTAGATAGTGAGACCTTGTCTTAAAATAATTAAACGGGGCTGAAGAAAGGGCACAGCAGTTAAGAGTAATGACTGCTCTTCCCAGCACCCTTGTGGTGGCTCACAACGGTCTGCAACTCTAGTTCCAGGGGATCTGGCGCCCTCTCCTGGCCTCTGTGGCCACTGCATGCACATGGTACACAGACACGCAAGCAGGCAAAGCACTTGCACACATAAAATAAGAAAACAAATACATCTCAAGACATCAGATTAAATAAAGATACTATTAAAAAAAAAAAAAAGGAAATGGGAAAGGATGAGAAGCCATGCCTCCAAGAAGATAGGAAATGGCCAAAAGCACCACTGGTCCATACTGAAAAGCAAGTCAAGACAAAAAAGCTCTGGCTTGGACCCAGACAGTCTTTGAGGGCATGGAGAATAGGAACATGTATGCCCTATTGGTGGAGATGTAACAGTGCAACACCTGTGAAAAATCATGGCACTGTCTAATAAATAAATAAATAGACAAATAGACAAACAATAAAAAAACTGGCACAAATGTTTATAGTAGTATTGTTGGTAATAACAAGCCAAATGCCCATTATTAGATAAATAACCTGTGGTATATTCATGCACTGGAATACTATTCATTCATAAATAGGAATACAGTACTGACACATGCTACAACCTGGGTGAGCCTCAAAGCATGTTCTGTAAAATAATCCTATACAAAAGACATGAACGATGGGATTGCTTTTACCTGTTAAGTCCAGAAAAAGACACCCTACAGGCATTTTTAAAAAAATAGGCTTGAGGTTATCAGGAGTGAGAAGAGAGGGAAGAAAACAGCTGGAAACACATGGACGTTTTCCTGACACGTTCTGAAACTAGAGAGAGGTTGTGGCTGCTTCTGCTCGTGAACAGGCTCAGCGCCACTGAACTGTGCACTGAAAACAATGAACCTGAGGTAACATGAAGTTCATCTCGACAGTCACAGGCAACACAACGCTTCTTGCTTATTTCTGTCTATCAGCTGGTAAACGAGTCAGAAGGCCACGAGAGGCTGGAGCAGTAGGCACAGGCAAAGGGCACATACACATCGTCCCAACAGCTGGAAGGCAGAGGGGGGAGGGTTAGAAATTCAAGATTATTCTTGGCTACTCAGCAAATTAAGAAAACAAAAAACAAAAGGTGAGGAGCCAGAGGTGCTGACACAATCAGTAATCTTGTCACCCTGAAGACTGGAGCAAGAGGATTTCTGGCACCAGGATGAGGCTCGTGAAGTGCCCGAAGTGCCCGAGGCGCACACAAGCACACAAGCCTTCTAGCGAAGCATACAAATGAAAAACAAACCTCCCTGTTTCTTACATCCTGACAGAGAGATCTGTGACCCTTTACAAACAGCCAGAGCTTAGAGAGAGTGCCATGGAAGACAAACGATCTTCTAATAAGTTGATGGCTAACCAATGGTGACCTGACTGTCCCCCCTGTCCATTTGCTCAAACAAGTACACAAAGGGTAAAGGAAGCAAGGCCAGGCATCTTCTCTTAACTGCAGTATAAGTGCCCTGCTATTGCTGGGGTGCAAGTCTCCCACCCTAAGAATCAGCCTGCTGAGTTTCTGTCCACTCTGTCTATTCTTCATGAAAATGCTTGTGTCAGTTCTGGTGAATTCCTTTACCCCTGCACCACAAGCAGGACACTCACAGCACAACACAACTTTGTGAGCAACAGACCGACTGCTGGGAGAGGAAAGACAGCATCTGTGTCACGTCCTCTGGGAGCCTGGGTCTAGCTAACAGCCCTGGGCTCTGAAGCAGCCTTGGAAGAGCATAATTCACAGACTCTAATCCATCTCTGTGCTCTTCTTTAAGCTGTTTCAAAAGGATCAGCGTCAAACTGTTTTGTCAAGATGGATACCAGTCTTCACTTGGCTAAGTCCAATACTCAGTTCCCAGGCTGCTCATAACTGTCCTCTGCATGTGTGGTCTGATGACCTGCTGTCTTCCTTTATGTCGGTGTGTGTGTGTGGGGGGGGTTAGTTCTTGAGGTGGGGTATCACTCAAGACTGCAGGAACTCACTACAGTCTCACTAGTGATTGGACAGTGCATCCTGGCTTTGAACTTGCAGCCATCTACCTTCCTCAGCCTCCCAGTCCAGCACTGCGGGTGTGAGCCATCACTCTTGGCCTGTTTCCTTCTTCAGGGAACATTTTCTTCCAGGGCCTCCAGGACACTGAACTCTCCTGACCTCCCTCCACCCTCAGGATGTTCCACACTGAACTGCCTGTCCCCTGGGCTGTTTCCTGGTTGTCAGCTTCACCTCCAGAAGCTGAGGTGTCCCCACTCCTGGCACGCTCACCTCACCCCATGACAGGACTTTAAATTAACCAAAGGCCAGTGGCTCAGAACTAGAGTCCCCACCTGTGCAAACACCTGTGTCTCCGTTGTGTGAGAACAGTGTCAGATTCACTGAGTCCAAAGCTGGGTGTGCCAGCACATGGCTGTAAGCCCAGCACTCCAGAGGAGGGACAGAGGGATCCTGAGTTCAAGTCAGCCTGGACTACACGCCAGTGAGTCTGGATGAGAGCAGAGCGCTGCTCTCTCAGCATATAAAGGAGCTTGGACATAGTGGCACATTTTTGTAACCCCCCAAGGTGGAAAGTAGGAGGAGGATCAGGAGTTCCATGTTTCCTTTGGGACCCTAGCTTTGTGGCTCCTGTAATCCCAGCACTCAGAAGGCACAGGCCAAAGGATCACTGGGGATTTGAGGCTAGCCTGGACTACATAGTTGGATAAACACTGCAACCCTGTTTTAAATAGCAAAACAAAATAAAATAGAAAGAAGAAGACAAAAAGGTTATCCTTGTCGACACATCAAGACCATGGCTACCTGATGCCGTGGGCTGCATGACACAGTGCCTCCAAAAGTCAAGTTAGCCGGGCACACAGAGCACGTGACCGTAAACCCAGCACCTGGGAGGCGTGAGTTCAAGGGAATCTGTGGCCTTGTGGAGAACTCTAGGTTACCAATGGCTGTGGTTAAAGAAGGCAGTAGACAAGGCTGGCATGGCTCACAGTGGGTAAAGACTTGTGCTGCCCTAACGACCTGAGCTAGAGCCCTGGACCCACCCAGAGGAAGAAAAGAAGTGACTCCTCCCCCCACCCCCCAAAAAAGAAGTTCTCTGAGCTCTACATGTGCCGCCCTGCACACACACACACACACACACACACACACACACACACGTGCACACACACCCACACACACACACTCCTTATTTAAAAGCCCAAACTAACAAAACCAATAACCAAACAGTAAGAAAGACCCTTAAGTTAAGGAGGGCCAAGAGATGAATTCAATTTAGTTTGTTTGTGATAAGGGTCTAGCTATGTCTGTTAGCTTGGCCTGGCCTGGAACTCATGATCTGCCTGCTTTTGCCTCTCCAGTGTTGGGATGACTGGCTTGTGTCACTTTGTTGGTTTAAAGGAATAATCTGTGCCCCCTCCCCCATCTGACTCACACACACACACCAAGTACAGCTCAGATGTGCTCACTCTCCAAGCTACCCCGTCTTGGTAAAAGTTGGTAATTGTCCGAGCTGGAACAATTTCCCCAATTCTCCCCAATGAGTCTCCGCCTAACCTACTTCTTCTAAGCACATGCTCTGTCTCTGACCTCGACAGGGGCCTTAAACTTCCTCACCTCTGAATCCCTTCTTTGCATCTCATTCTGCTTCCCAAAATCCCTTCTTCAAAACCATTGGGAAAAATTCATTCTCAGCCAGGTGTGGTGGCACTTGCCTTTAATCCCAGCACTTGGGAGAGATAGGTGGATCTCTGAGTTCCAAGCCAGCCTGATCTATATAGTGAGTTCCAGGACAGTCAGGGCTACATAGAGGACCTCAACATAAAACCAGATTCACTGAACCTAAAAGAAGAGACAATAGTGAATAGCCTTGTGCTCGTTGGTCCAGGAGACAGCTTCCTGGACTGAGGGGTTAGTGCATCGTCACACAGACAGCTCAGGCACAAAGAACAACCATTAAGAAATGGAACCTCATGAAACTGAAACGCGTCTGTAAGACAAAGGACACCGTCAATAGGACAAAACAGCAGCCTACAGAATGGGAAAAGATTTTCACCAACTCCACATCCAATAGAGGGCTAATATCGAAAATATATAAAGAACTCAAGAAACCAGGCATCAAAAACAAAAACAAATACTCCAACAGAAAAAATGGCTGAGAAACTCTTAAAGAAATGTTCACCATCCTTAGCTGTTGGTGTCCATAAAACCAAAACAACTCAAGCAGTCACAAGAGTCCAGCAAAGCAAGAACTTTGTTTGAATTAGGCAGCAAAAACTGACCAGCCAAGGACAACAGCACAGACTCAGGAGCTGACTGCTTCTTGGAACATCCATCTTAGTAAGTACTCAAGCAGAAGACAAAAATTTATTGTACCGATCAATCCAGGCTCCAGAGCAGACTCAGGAGCTGAACTGCGACACTGAGTCAGAATGGGACAGAGTTTTGTTTTGTTTTTTAATTAAATTTTTATTTTTTATATTAGTTACAGTTTATTTACTTTGTATCTCAGTTGTAGCCCCCTCCCTCATTCCCTCCCAATCCCACCCTCCCTCCCTCAACTCCTCTCTGCCGGTCTCTAAGTCCACTGATAGGGGAGGTCCTCCTTCCCTTCCATCTGACCCTAGCATATCAGGTCTCATCAGGACTGGATGCCATGTCTTCCTCTGTGGCCTAGCAAGGCTGCTCCTCCCTCAGGATGGGGGGTCGGGGGGAGGTGTCAAAGAGCCAGCCATTGAGTTCATGTCAGAGACAGGAGACAGAGTTTTTAAGCCTGAAATTCACAAACGTCTGTGCTAAGTTATCCCTCCAGTCAGCATTAGGGATAGGAGACTTCCTTAAAAACACATCTTTGCGGTACACTTACCCTGTTCCCATTGGTTGGGTTATTCAACTGTGGCATGGCGACTTGCCTGGCATTCATGTCTCAAGTTGCCAACCATGATGTCAGTTATTTACGTACATGTCTCTCTCTGCCAAGCAGGGTGTCCCCAGGGAGGCCTTTGGAACTTGAACTTTATTTGACTCCGATTCAAAATGGAAGGTTTGTTTTTTTTGTTTTGTTTTGTCTTCAAAATGGCTTCAATTTGGTTTGTCCCGATCCGAGGGACTTCAACAGGTTCCTAAAGGGGGGGGGGCAGTGGTGGAAAGAATGAAGTAGGACAAAGAGACACAAAGAATGAAGTTAAGTCTGTCTGATCAAAGCCTCGTTTATTAGAAATTTTTTCACAACTATATAGGGAGAAGGCAGAAAAAGGGGGAAGGTTTATTTACTGCTGCAGAAGCTAGCAAGAGTGCTTTATGGTTTGAGATACCGCACCTGCAAGATACCTCAAGAATGTTTCCTAAAGATACACTCAAGGATGCTCCAAGACTGACGAGCAGATGTTCTCACATAAATCTATCACCCATGACCAAGTGCGGCTGTTGGTAACTTTTCCACTAATTGGCATTGGCTCTACTAAATGGCTTTGGTTCACTAATTGGCTTTGGCTTCAGTAAATAGCTTTGACTCCCGGCATCTCCTCCCTTCTTAAACAATTTAAGAAGGTAGCAGGTAGGTTTTGAACATGAGGTCTTTTGCAGATGGTGGGCATTAACCAGAGGTGGGAAGTAGTGACCTGATCCTCAAGGCATTTTGCAGCCTTTTTGGGTGTCTTTTTGGGGAGGAGAGGAAGACCCCATCAAAACCTGAGGGCATCCCCAGCAGGTTGTGGTTAGGGGTAATCAGACACCAACCTCTATGTAATCAGGTTTGCTTCTCAGAGACTCAGAAGCGGGCAATTGGGCCTTCCCCCTGCAGTATGTTGTCTTTCACCCCATTATAAGTACCCAGGAAAGCATTTATCTGAGTTTCCTGCTGTTCTCATGAGAGCCAAATGCAAGCAGTCAAGACCCATGTGATAGACTGTCAGCAGTCTTCCTCGGGCTCAGCTAAGCCTCTGTCAGCCAAATCAAGTCTGTGATAATGAACTTGTATGGGTTTAGATGCCAGGGAGTCAATTTGCTGTTTTACAAAGCTAGTAAGTCTTTTAATGGCCCATGGGCTGAAAGATATGAGGAGAAGGAAACCCACCATGGGTCCCACAATTGAAGGAAGGAGGGTGGTGAGCCAGGGAGAGGTTGAAAACCAATTATGAAACCAACTTTCCTCTTGTTCTCTCTGTCTCTTTTTCTCTTCTAAGCCTTCCCTAACCTTAGCCATGCAGTCTTTCATAACCCCAGAATAGTCCATGTAAAAACAACATTCTTCCTTGAGGACAGTACATAAACAGTCATCTTTACTGGAGGGGTCTTCTTTGACATCATTATCATTGTCAGGAGAAAACTCCTCATCCACTTGTTGCCTCAGGCGTTCCAGTAGCCATAACACAGACAGCTCCTCGTCCCCATATGAGTACAGGGTTGGGTCCATGTCATTAATTTGTTAAAGGATTCCTCCATATTACTTTAGCAAAAGTTTTTTTTTTTTTTTTTTGGCTTTTGTATGCCAAAATCTATCTGCTGCAGATTTACCATGCTTATCCAAATTTAAAAATTCAGATCCAATTTTTTTTTTTTTAATTTAGGTGTCCAGGGGAGTGGCTCCCCCGTCTTTGTTTTTCGCAAATAAATCTTAATTGTTTAGTGGGCATGCTCTAGCATGCCTTGTCCTTGAGGATTGTAAGGTATTTTAGTTATATGAGAAACTTGAAACTGTTGACAAAATCTTTTAAAAGATTTGTTAGTATATCCTGCTCCATTGTCAGCTTTTAATTGCTTAGGAACTCATAGAACATTAAAAGCCTCTAGACAATGAGCAATAACTTTTATTGCAGCTTCTCCTGGTTGAGGAGTGGCAAAAATAAATCCAGAATAGGTATCAATAAAAAAATATGCATATTTTAATTTTTTAAATTCAGGAATATGAGTAATGTCCATTTGCCAGATCTGATTTGGAACCAATCCTTTAGGATTGACTCCCAAATGAGGAATAGGCTGAAACTGAGGACAAGTACTGCAAGCCTTGACTATAGCACGTGCCTGTTTTTTAGTCAACCAATATTTAAGTCTCAAGGTTTGACTATTAAGATGATGCATGTTATGGGCATCCTGGGCTCTTTAACTGTAAACAATAAACTTTGGTAGCTTTATCTGCCAATGCATTTCCTTTAGACAGGGGTTGTGGCAAATTAGAATGAGCCCTCAAATGTCCTATAAAAAAGGGAAAGTTTCTTTCTTGTATCAAGTTTTGAATTTGTAAAAATAAAATTCCAGCAGGAGAAAATATCTGGATTTGACCTACAGCCTCTAACCTAGGCAAACAGTGAGCTACATATGCACCATCTGTAAAAATGTTCAAAGACTACCTATTAAAACTTTGAAACACAGCCAATACTGCAGATAACTCTGCTATTTGTGCAGATGTGACAAACACTTGAAAAGACATTATTTTTCTTTTATAATTACAGGCAGCAACACCAGATATCATTAAAGATGGTTCTGAGCCACCATGTGGTTGCTGGGGATTGAACTCAGGACCTTTGGAAGAACAGCCAGTACTCTTAACCTCTGAGCCATCTCTCCAGCCCAGTCTGTTTGTGACTCTGTCATAATAAGCTTACATATGTTAAAATGCCATTTTTATTAGATCTCTGACAAGTCTGAGAGCCAGCATATTTGAATTACTCTTTGTCTACCTTTATTATCTGCTCTAAACTGTATCCTATAAAACAGGATATTATAATCTTTAATTTTGGCATATTTTTTAAATGTATGTTTTAGAACCAAATTTTACGTAAATGTATATAGGCAAACTTTATTTGTACCCATTTTAAATTAAACCTTAAAAAAACAACCTAAACAAAGAGACTACGTAAAACTCAATCTTGTACTCAACTATAATCTTTAGCATATCTTTAAATCTGCTCTTTTTTACACTAAAATCAAAGCAATACTTTAATTACACATAATTTGTAAAGGGGCTAGCAAATCTTATTAATCCTATAATATTGTATTAAAACTTAACAGCAAAAAATTAAAAAGAACAAAAGTTTTATTTAACATTAAACGGAGAACTAAACTTAGCCTGCAGCCTTCAGCAAAAATGGACTATTTTGGCCATACCAGGTCTATAGGCCAGAAAGAAACAGCATTAAATCATTTATTTAGGTACTGGCAGCCAGGCATATATTTTATATAATGGCTAAAAATGATCTGAATATAACCCTGCATAACCCTGGGCTAACATGGAACTGTAGCCCCTTTTGTCCTGCAAAAGAGCATTAACAAACATTTTTGCATTGAAGAATCTCCAGCCTTTTTAAATGAAGAACAATACTTTTTATAGTTTTTTTTTTTTACATGATATATTGTAATAACTGCAGTTTTTGTTTAATTGGCTTAAGCAGCATGGCTTGGTTTTACCTTGTAAAATTAATAAATACCAAGATCTTTTGACCTCCCCCAAAAGGGTTGAGAAACTGTTTTAAGTTTTTTGTTAGGCTGTCCAAGGGTTATTATTTTAAAATACCTGACAAATTTTAAAATGTTTTATAGAATTTAACTCTGATGGTCCAGGACCAACCTTAGAGCTGTTGATTTAAACTGTCTCATGTCCAAAAATATTAATATCGTCAGTCAGATTTTAAAATATCATCAATTTAAGTCCAGAGATAAACATATACACACATAGAGACACAGCTAAGGAACACAGAAATTGGATATTGTCACCTTGGAGTAACCAGAATACCCAGATACCAGGAGTTGACCGGCTCCTACCAGAAGCAAGTCCAGAAGGAGTAGACCCTCTCTTGGGTCCTCCCCACAGCTTCCAGATAGAGAGTGGGGTCTAGCAGCCCTCTTTTCTGGTCCTAAAAGGAGTAGCCTTTAAGGGCCTTTCTCCGGGAACTGGGGCGTCCCCCAATTTTCCTTGACCAGATTGGAAACTCTCCAAGTTTTCCAGACCTTTCTAGCAAACCAAAACCAGAAACCAGAACACACAGCCGGCACACAAAAACAAAACACAGAGACAAAGACAAAAAACAACCGTGGTACCTGCCTTTTAAACATTTAAATATATATATACAGAGCATAACCATGATTTTAAAAGTCAGAACTAGATTTAAAACTAAGAATTTATCAGTGAACACAAGTTAATCTTTAAAACTAGAAGTGGCTCCATTCCTCCGGCTCCTGTCCGAGTGCCGACACTGACTGAAGCTGACACTGGCTGAAGCCTGTGGGAGGGGGCGGGGTGAGCTGCCGGTCAGCTCAGCAGCCCTGCTCAGCTCTGCAGTTGGCAGAGGCGGGTCTTAGGCCAATTTTGAGGGTGTGAGCGTTCTCATCTACCCAGTTCTCGGCAAACCGTCCAAGCCTGGCCCAAAGTAGGGGAGGAGAAGGAGGCAAATAGGGTCCCCATTCCTCCTGCTCACTCCGAGCCTTCTGCCCCGGCCCACCTGAGGCCTTTTTTGTTGTTGTTGTTTTGGGCAGGAGGGAGGCAGTCGCAGGAGGGGGTTGGGACAATTTAAGATCCAATTTTCGCAGTTGTTTAAGCAGTGTTAAATGCTCTCTTTTATTTTGAAGCAGTTCCCTGAGGGATTTGACCTCCTGACAGTTTAGTTTTAGCTAGCTGAGCAGCATCCCATATGTCAGAATCAAAATGTAAGGCTGGTGCGAAGAAAGGAGGAGCTTTAATAAACAGAGGCGGTAAACAAGGGGCAGCTGCTGAAGCCGGGAAAGACGGGAGGGGTTGCCAGTCTAGATTACAGTATCTGGTGGCTTTTTCCTCAAGAGAAGTGGCCTTTTTAGAGAAAGGCAGGTCATTAGGACCGCCCTGTGTCTGTGAGTGAAGGGCTGTAGGGGAGGGGTAAAGGGAACGGGCTGTAGGTACGGAGATAAGAGTCAGAAGGAGGGAGCTTGGGAAAGTTGGGGAAGTGCAGCCTCATCCCCACCTACTTCAAGGGATTTGGGACTGCCTCTAGAGTCGTTTTTTAGGAACTTTTCAGTTTGAGAAACTACCTCAGCCAAGTCAGGTTGGGAATGTCTGACCTGAAGGATATCATTAATCAAATTCCAGTAAGAAAATGCCTGGACAGTTACCTTTTGTGGACCAGAAGAATCATAAAATTCTTTAAGACAATTTCCAACTCTCTGCCAGCGTCTTACATCAGTAGTGCCTTCTTGTGGAAACCAGGGGCAAATATTAGTAATAAAAACAAAGAAGCTAACTAAATCCTTTTTCTTAACCCTTACTCCCCATGTCTTGAGGGACTCCTTGAGACCCTGTAAGAATAAGTCATGCTTACTCAATTCTTGTTCCATAATTCGTCGTTCTGACTTACCTCTCAGTTCAAGCTCACAGACGGGCGGCTCTGTGGAGATCTCTTATGCAGGAGCTTTTTCATTTCCCAGTGGAAACGCTAGCTCCTATGTAGATTTGCGGCCACTGAAGAAAGACGTTCAATCTGGTTCCCGTATCCTAGGCTACGTTGGGTGCCAGAATGCACCGCCCTGCAGGACTTCAACGGCTTTCTAAAGGGGGAGGGGTGGAAAGAATGAAGTAGGACAAAGAGACACAAAGAATGAGGCTAAGTCTGTTTGTCTGATCAAAGCCTCATTTATTAGAAATTTTTTCACAACTATACAGGGAGAAGGCAGAAAAAGGGAGAAGGTTTATTTACTGCTGCAGAAGCTAGCAAGAGTGCTTTATGGTTTGAGATACCGCACCTGCAAGATACCTCAAGAATGTTTCCTAAAGATACACTCAAGGATGCTCCAAGACTGACGAGCAGATGTTCTCACATAAATCTATCACCCATGACCTAGGGTCCTAGAGCAGCTGTTGGTAACTTTTCCACTAATTGGCACTGGCTCCACTAAATGGCTTTGGCTTCAGTAAATAGCTTTGGCTCCCGGCATTGGTTCTTTCTTAGATACCCATCAGGGAAATGCAAACCAAAACTACTTTGAGATTCCATCTTACACCTTTAAGAATTGCTAAGGTCAATAACACAAGTGACAACCCATGCTGGTCAGGATGTGGAGCTAAAGGAACACTTCTCCATCGCTGGTGGAGGTGCCATCATGTACAGCCACTATGAAATCAATATGGTGGTTCCTCAGAAAATTGGAAGTCAATCTACCTCGAGACCCAACTAGACCACTCTTGGGCATATACCCAAAAGATGCTCCACCATACCACAAGGACACTTGCTTAGCTATGTTCATAGCAGCTTTATTCCTAATAGCCAGAAACTGGAAACAACCTCCATGAACGTCAACAGAAGAATGGATAAAGAACACGTGGTATATTTACACAATGGAGTATTACTCCGCTGTTGAAAAAGATGACATTGTGAAATTTTTAGGCAAATGCATGAAACTAGAAAAAAAAAATCATCTTGAGTGAGGCAACCCAGACCCGGAAAGACAAAAATAATATGTGCTCACTTACAAGCGGATATTAGCTGTTAAGTAAAAGAAAATCACACTACAGTCTACAGACCCAGAGAGGCTAAGTAAGAAGGAGGGCTCTAGGGAAGGTGCATAGATCACCCTGGGGAGGGGAAATAGAATATGTTTTGGGGGTGGGCTGGGGATGAGTGGGATGTGAACATCCCCTGGTGGAGGATGGAGGGAAGAGGAAGAGAACACAGGGAGAAATGACTGGAATAGGGGCATTAGGAGGATGACCCTATCAAGAACTCCTAGCGATGGAAGAGATGAAGCCTGAACCAGCCATCTTCGGTAACCTAGCAAACCTCTCAGTGGCAGGACTAACCCAGCCATAAAACCTTCGATCCACACTCGTCCTACCTGCAAGATGTCCTGGGGCAGTAGTGGCTCAAGGCTTGTGAGAGTAGCTGACTGGTCTAACCAGGCCCAAGCCACAAGAGGGAGCCCATGCCTGACACTTCGTGGATGGCCAGGAGCCAGAAGCTGGATGGCTCAGAGAAAGAAAGGAAGGAAGGAAGAAAGGAAGGAAGGAAGGAAGGAAGGAAGGAAGGAAGGAAGGAAGGAAGGAAAGAAGGAAGGAAGGAAAAGAAAAAAAGCCAGTAAAATGATGATTATTCATAGATTGGTGCCTAGCCCAATGGACACCAGAGTGGCTTCTTCCAACAGCTGATGGGAACAGATGCAGAGACCCACACCCAAACTTTAGGTGGAATTCATTCAGGGAACCTTGTAGAAGATGAGAAGGAAGAGCCAGAGGGGCCGGGGATACCAGGAGAACTCAGCCCCCAGAACCAACTAAACAGAGCACATGGGGCTGACAGAGAATGAAGCAGGAATCACAGAACCTGCGTGGGTCTGTCCTAAGTCCTCTGCATACATGCTGCGGTTGTTTGGGTTGGGTTGTTTGTGGGACTCCTAACAGTGGGGTAGGGTGTATCTTTGATTCTTTGCCTGTTCTTGGAACCCTTTTCCTCCTACTGGGTTGCCTGGCCTCGTCCCGACTTGATATGGGAGTTTGTGGCCTAGTCTTATTGCCTCTTGTTATGCTGAGTTCAGTTGATATCACTGGGAGACTGCTCTTTCCTGATGGGAAACAGAGGAGCAATGATCTGAGAAGAGGGGAGGTGCTGAGGAGATGGAACTGGGAGGAATGGAGAGAGGAGAGGCTGCAGTTGGGATGTATTGTATGAAAGAAGAATAAATGAATGAATAAATTTTTTTTCAGGGAAAGCTCAGTGGTGCATGCCTTTAATTCCAGCACTAGAGAGGCAGAGGCAGGTGGATCTCTCTGAGTTCAAGGCCAGCCTGGTCTACAAAGTAAGCTCCAGGACATCCAGTGGTACACAGAGAAACCCGATATAAAAAAAAAAAAATCATTTTCTCTTCTGTTTATGGGTGTATTGCCTGCATGTATGACTGCACACCACATGTGTATGTGGTGCTGGGAGGAGGCCAGATGAAGAAGTTGGATACCTGCACCTGAGGCTGTACTTATGTGGGTGCCGAGAATTGAACCTGGGTTGTCTGGGAAAGTGGCCAATGCTCTTAACAACTGAGGCGTCTCTCCGGCCACTGGTTACTTGCTTGCTTGCTTGCTTGCTTGCTTCCTTGCTTTTGAGGATGGCCTGATACAAACTGGCCTCCAACTTACAGAAACCTTGTTGTCGCTTTTTTTTTTTCCTACCTCCTGAGTGCCGGTATTACAAGCAGAAGGTGTCACACCTGTCCTAAAATTAGCTGTTGTGTGTGTGTGCGTGTGTGTGTGTGTTGTGTGTGTGTGTGTGCGCATATAGTGTATGTGCACCCGCATGCAAGTGTGCATTCCTGTGTTCTTTAAGAGGCCAGAGAACACCAGGTGTCCCATTCATAGATAGATAGATAGAGAGAGAGAGAGAGAGAGAGAGAGAGAGAGAGAGCGAGAAGCCGTGAGTCAAAATAAACCCTTTCCTCTTAAGGGTATTTTTTTTTTTCAAGCAATGAGAACCATAATAAACTGTCCCTTTTCCTATTACCTGGCAACCATCATTCTATCTACTTCTTGTCTCTAAAATTTGGATTGCTGTAAAAAAAAAATACCTCATGTAAATAAAATATCAAATTAGCTGCGACTGGCTTATTTCACTTAGCATGGTGTCCTCAAGAGCTGTCCATGCTGTGGTGTGAGTCAGCATTCTTGCCTGAGGATGAGGGAACGCCCCCTATGTGCCTCCTCCACATTGTGTTCACCTGTACATTCTTTGGTAGACTCTATTGCATCCACCCCTGCACTATGCTGAAGGCCGCTATAAACACGTATCTCCAAGTATTTCTTCAATACCTGCCTTTAAGCCCACACCAAGAGGCAGAAGTGCTGAGTCCTATAATGGCTCTATTTTAATTTTTTTTATTTAAATTTTATTTTGTGTGTTGTGGGATTTATCTATGTGTACCTGCATTATCTGTGTGCACCGTGTGGGTGTCTGGTGCCCTAGAGGCCAGAATAAAGAGTTGGATCCGATAGAACCGAAGTTACAGATGGGTGTGAGCTGACAGGTGGGTGCTGAGAATCAAACCTAGGCCCCCTGGAAGAGCAGCCAGTGCTCTTAACCACTGAGCCATTTCTCTAGCCCTGTAACCCCATTTTTAATTTCACCAGATTGTCTCCCGTACTGTCTGTATCTTTTTACATTCTAACAATGATACACAAGGTTGTAGTTTCTACACACACCTTGCCAACACTTGTTTTTTTTTTTTTTGTTTGTTTGTTTTTTAATACCAGCTTTTGTAAATACTGTGGAATACAAAGTTCCAACAACCATAGGGAATAATGGTGCTAAGAGAACCTTACATTGCATATTTAGTCTTTGACCCCAGTTTCTCACACAAATATTCTCAGGTCTTTGCCTGGCATAGTTCCTGAATTGCTCAGATTTCCCTGCAGATAGAAGCATCTTTGTTCCTCCTGTGATAACTTGATGGACTCCTTCTGAGGGGATGGTCACAAAAAGACCAGACCATAATTAGTAGTTTGGAACATTCATCCCCAACCCAATTATACAAGGAGTGAAGACAGAGGAGATTGAGTTAATCATCAAAAATCCAAGAACTTTGGCTGGGGAGATATCTCAGCCTGGACTCAGACCTCCATTCTGTCTCTAGCATTCATGGAGAAAACAGGCACACAAACAAACAAACAAACAAACAAACAACTGGTTGGAATGTGTTAGATTTCAGGGTAGACAGTAAAGATGCAGAGGGCAGAAGGAGAACTAAGGGTTCTGCAAAGGGAAAACCTGGATGAGACCCTTCATAGGAAGTGGGTGAGGGGCTAGGGAATAAGGAAGTTGATAAAGCTGTAGGAGGATATGTGCAGGGTTTTGGTCTCTTTCCTGGAATTGTTTGCTCAGCTGAGACAGACCATCTTGGGAAAGGGCCAGCTCAGTAAACATTCCTCTTGGTGGCTGACAGATCACTGTTGGGCAAGGCCAGCTGAAACTTCATGGAAATTCTGTTTTTTACAATCGAGGCACACTGACATAATGGCTCGTGCTTGTAATCCCAGCAACAGGACCGTGGAAACAGAAATACCCCTAGAGTTGACTGGCCATAGCTTACTTAATTGGTGACTCTCAGCTCCCAATTAGAGACCTTCTTTCAAAATAAAAAATGAATAAGAATAACAAGGCACTACTGGCCATGATGGTTCACACCTTTAATCCCAGCACTCAGGAGGCAGAGGCAGGAGGATATCTGTGAGCTGAAGGCCAGCCTGGTTTACGTTCCAGGACAGCCAGGGCTACACAGAGACCCTATCAAAAAACAAAACAAATAAAAACAAACAAACCAAAACACGGCAGCTGGCTCCTGAGAAATGACATTTTGCGGTTGTACTCTGGTCTTCACACACATGTGTGCATGCACAGACTATACACACACACACACACACACACACACACACACACACACACACACGAATTATAGATACTGAAAGCTTCCAGAATGCTGTCATCTGGTGCC